AGCGGCCTGAACCACCTGGCGCCAGTTTTCAGTTGCCCTTGGGCCTACCGACGCCGATTGAACGTTGAAAAAAGACCAAGGGACCAAGGGGGCAGTCAAAACGGTCAAAATGTCTCAAGATCAGTCAAAGAATGTCCAAGATGGCTCTTCCACTTGGTCACAAGCAAGATCGATTACTTGATTCTGGGATATTCCGAGTGTATACATGCATATCCATATCCAAGTTTCTCAACTCTAAACGCGCGTATTTGATGATTGCGTCCAAGCAGAACAGCGATCTTTGAACAAATGTGTCCATTGGTTTCCTATGGCAATCAACCCGAGGGTTTCCTGATTGTGTGCAACCTGCTGTGCGGATCCGCATGGCCAACAAAAATGGTGCTCAGGAGGCCTCCCGTTGCCGTTGGAAACTGGGATGTTCGTCAGGTTCCTGCAAGTTGTTCACCGTTTCATGCTGACAGGAACTGCAGAGGACTGCAGCTTGTCTAGTGGATTCTACGGGCGCATTCTGCGATCATGAAGTGTGCTGACAATCTTGGCGGTTCAGAGAAGCATCAAGACTGTCCACGAAGCTGCTGTGCAAATGGCAAGAGTGCAACTAGCCCAGATCCTCTCACATACTGGAGCTAATAAATGTTAGCAGATTGAACAGGATGAAAGTCTATATAATCATTTCAATATTTAAATATATTTGAATAATTTTGAATATAGGCTCACCCCTTGCGAAGTTGTTCTGCACCAGTTCATGTCAGATATGTCAGTGTCGCGAAAGGATTCTGTCTATTCATTCCACCTCTTTCAATGATTCAACTCGACCAGTTTCATGGTGTTTGACGTCCTCGAACAAATTAATCAAGACCCCAATTGCTTATCTAGAAGGCATCCTAGATGCATACGCTTTACGCTTTGCATACGCTTCATCAACCCTCGGAAGCTCGAGGTGTTGGGATGGAAGCCTGCGACACCTCTGAACCACAGCCTGCCTGAAAAATGATGCGGGTGACCCCTGCCATCATCAAAGCCTTTACACAATTCCAACCTTAGCCGATGGCATGGAAACATATGGAAACTCTGAAAGAGACAGGGATGGAAAATTTCCCATTTCCAAAACCCAGCGGAAGGTCGCACATACGGAATCTCAAATCCAAATGCTTCTGAGTCGTCATATCTCGAAGAACCCCCCCTGCAATTCAGGCACTCTTTACCATCTTTACATATCTTTACCTGAGGTTCACACATGGCGCTTGTAAGCAGTAGAGCCAACTTCCATCCTCAGATGATTCATCCAAATCCATGTTTGGAACCAGCTGGACCTGTTGACAGGGGATGGATGTGCGTGCAACACTGAGGGGCTTCAATTATGCTGAATCGACATGACTTATTCTCAATAACCGAGCTCAAAAATCTCAAAATGTCGCCAAAGACATCCAAAGACTCTCGCTTTGACGATCCGTTCTGGTGAATTCATGTGAATTCCTTGGGAGGTACCTTGCTGTGCTCGACTACCCTGCCCTCAGAGCCAGACTGTGGCGATACCTTCCCTGGCGCAGCGTGCCACAAGCATCACCTGCTGTGATGAGGTGATGCCGTGCCATTGAACTGTTGACATCTACGAGCTTCTTGGGGTGCCCTTGATCTATGAATCTATGAGCAAAGATCAACCAGCTCGGAAGGGTTCCCAAACTCAGCATTGTTACGAAAAACCAAACCCCTGACCTCAGCATGCAAGGACTTGCTTTTGGCGCCCATGATTTCCTGACAGTGACATTTCGTGCACCAAGAGAGTTGGAAGAGCAGGACATCTCTGCAGAAGCAACGTGCTAAAGTTGCTTGACCTTACTTTGTGATAGAGCGGAATCAGTTTGTATGTTCATTGACATGCTCCGACCAACATTCTGAGGTACAGATGCCAACTGAACTCATAGTGACATAGTGATCAAGGATGGAGTGAAATGATGTGAATGGTGTCACCTAATCAAACTCTGCTGGCTTTACGAACTACACATCCCTCTCATATGCCTTGATAGATGATTTCCCATTGAAATGTTATAGATCTATAGAGTTATAAATTTATGGTGGATTTCCCAGCCAGCCATGTTTCATTACCGCAAGATATCCCTGGTGTCGGGGGTTGTCCAGACGAGCCTTCTGAGATCTACTTCTCACGGCCAGCATCTCGTCCACTCTGCCTATCGGATTATTGCTTTCAGGAACACATGGTGTCGTGTTGAAATTATATGAAATTATAGATATCTATAGATATCTATAGATGTCATTTCTCTGTTTCAATTTTGCTGGGACGATGGCCAGCATGTATAGTCACCCTGGCCTTGTTGCAAGTGCGGTGATGGAAATCGTACCCTTCCAACAAGGTTTTGGGAGAAGAACCACCATATATGTATGTAATCATATGATGATTTGCCCAGTGAAAATGGCTCATGTTCTCATCCATCATTGTTTCCAATAGCGTGATTTCTTCAATCCCTTACGGCACCGTGCCTTCTTCGCTGGCCTGGTTCAAGGTTTCAATTTTGGGGCATTCAAAACCGAATCGAACGCTTTCAGGTCTTTCATATGGAGGTTTCCTAAATTGAGGGGGTAAATCATCAATTTTATATGTATGTATATATATATACAGTATATATATACATATAATGGGAAAATCCATTATGAATTATTAAATTATAAATCATCAATTTTGGGGTACCATGGAAACCCCCATGAGACCCAAAGGAATCATGGCCTGTCCCATCTCCAGCTGAGACCGAGGCCAGCTTCACTGGGTAATGCATCGCCAAGCCCAGGATCTGCATTGGATCTCCCAGATTAGCTCGGGTTTTTTCAGGGCCCCTTAAACCTTTGAAAAAGGATAGGATTGATAGGATGAAGAACCTGTTCACAGCCTGAAACGCTATAAGAATAATAAGATATAATAAGATCCTCTAGATATGCAGTACGCCATCTCAGGTGCGTGTCACGTCGTTTGGCGAGCACCTTGAATACGTTCAGGAGATCAAGCTGCTGTCAGTTTCGGTTGTGGGTTGGGAAAGGCTTGATTACCAGTGCTTGTATTAAATATGATTAAATTATACGTTCATATTGGTTGTGTACAATAAAAGCCTAGAATCCCTAGAAGCAGCACTTCCGCCCAAGCCCCCCGGGTGGCCTGGATCCCTGGCCCTTCCTCAAAGTCCTGTCGCCGTACGTGGGACGGGTTCTGGTCATCCCAGTATTGGGAATCCTCCATAATCTAATTATCGATGCTCAATGGTCGCATGAACCCACAATATGATCAATATGAAATCCAACTTCTGACCATGGCACATAGTGATCATAGTGAAATCAAAAAGCTCCTGTCTTATCTGTCCCTCCGAGAAAATCCGAGAAATTGAACATGCTAAAATAATGCTGGATGTTCCATGTCCATGTTGCTTCTGTGGGAAACCTCTTGGGGATCTTGGCAGTAATGATTTAGTGGATGTGATTTTCTTCCTGCATGTGAAAACGGACAAGTCCAATTACATATCACAAATCTGTGTATTTTAAGATCTGTACATAAGGGAAAAGGCGACATGATGAGTCACAGATCGCACTTCGATTAGGGGGGTCAGTCCGAAAATGGCTTCAGCATGTTTATGTGAGCTCAGCATGTGGGTTGAAAGGCTTGCATGAGACAATGTATTCCTGCTATGGAAATGAAGTCCTGAGATCGAAGTAACTCTGCATAACCACCGGTCACAGCGACTGTGAACGTTTCTTCCTCGCCAGTAATGGGCCAAAAGGGCCGTCTGGGCAATACTTTGCACAGTGGCAGAAGCCCCGACTCTGAATTCGAAGCGTTGCTGGCGGATTGGGTAGAGCAAGATGCTAAGATTATGTATGATACATTACAAAAATAATCAAAAAGACATAAAACTACTATAAAATCAGTTGTATCATTTAAATATATTTAAAATAATGCAATTCAGCCAGGGATTTCTTGGAAACTTAGTAACTCACCCAAGAAGAGTAAAGGCAGTAGAAGCGTTCTCCTGAAATCCAGCAAATCTGTCGCCCGTAGATTGAAACACCCGACTTGATTTAACTCACTGATTCAAACTATCCGAGGGGCTTTGTCGCTTCACAAAGTCGGTGAAGATCTAAAACCACTAGCCAAGCCAACACGATTGCAGCTTTCCTTTTCAAGTCAGCAAGGGAATGATCAGCATCCCCTTCATACAAAAAGGGAATGATTTGTCAGCAACTCAGCCAGAAATTGACTTGCCACCAAAACATTTCTTGCTTGACCCAACCCGACATTGATGCTCTCAGCAACTTTTTCTGAGATGTTGCAAAGCTCTAATCTCTATACAGAATTAGTCCGAGCTGTTGCCAAGATTTACACACAGCAGTTCCGATGGCTTCCGCACATCTTAAACAACCGCAAGTCTTAAGTGATTCTGGGGTACAGGTTCTAAACATGCACTCAACCTACGGCTACCAGTGGTCTATAGTGAAAACATGGGTTAGTAGGCTCTGCATGGATGGGACGAACATAAAGGTCTTGCCACCATGCCATCATCCGAATGCCGAAGATCTAATGCTTGCGGTCCTTCTAGAAGACTACATGACTACATGTTTGATCATGTTTGATCATGTTTAATATATGTTTGATCATGTTTAATATGTTTAAATTGATGTGGCAATAACTCCGAAGACATTCAGGCAGAGTTCTTTTCCTCTGCAGGTGCCTTTCCACCTCTCTGCTGCATTTCCCCCTGATCTAGGAGATCTTTTCGTAGGTGCTGGAAATGTGTGGATGTGTGTGGTGATGGTAGCGAATGGACTGCATGACCACTGAGTATTTGGAAGCGTTGATGAACCCCTCAACACCAACTCGCTTTTGACATACACTCAAAACAGAGGGGCAAAGACTAGTGGTGTTAGAGAAAAATAAAAAGGCATGCATGCTCTTCTGGTTTGACACGCAAGGTTGAAGGAAAATGGCATCCCTTTCAAGATCATCGTGATTCTCGTCGTCGTGGTTGAGCTTGACTCCTGGTGTCTGAGCCAGAAGTGATTGATGATCCAATTGAATCCAAGACAAGAAAATCCCTGCTGCCGCATCTCTGAAGTCTATGTCTAGAGTTTTCAGGTTTCAGAACACAATCACATCACAGTTCACATATGTTCACATGCGGTAATCTCTGGGGAACAGCTGGCCACCCAGCTGAAAACCCCAGTCGAGTCCTTGGCCGTTGTTGTTCTGCCACCTTGAGCACGGTCTTGGCCTGAGGCAGTACCCCAGTACTTTTTTTTCCCACGCGAAAGGAATGGGCCAGATGTTGTGAGGGATGAGGGCTATGAAATCTATGAATCATTGGGCCTTGCCAAAGTGGAGAAACACAGAAGACATGAGATGAAACTTCAGGGTTAACTCATGGACTTGTGCAGTGAGATGCGTTCCCCGGGATCTTGCGAGCAAGGTGAATTTCTTATGATCCAAGCGTCACATGACTCTTCCGCTGAGGCTGGACGGGACACCTGGCAACTCACAGTTTGATGAGAGGATCAGTGGTTATTGAAGCGTTGTGTGCAACTCAAACCTCAGGACATCTCGTGACAGTTCAACTGCACCATGAATATCCATTAATTACTTTCCAGTCCAGGATAATAGGACTTCCAAAGTCTATTGGATAATATAAGATCGTCGGTTCATCACATGAGAAGGGAATCGGCAAGCAGCTTAGCAGGCCACTGGGATCTACCACAACCATAGCTCTTGGCAATGTTTTTGTGTGAACACCAGAATAGGAAAGGATGGTCGCAGCCAACTTAGATCTGGGTCAGAGTAAAATTGAAAACACAAAGAGCTCTCTTCGTCCTTGGTATGAAAGCACCATTAAAATCCATTATATAAACCATTCGCCACCCAACTTGGAACCACAAGTTTTGCCCATGTGCCAAACTGGCCTGCCGGAGCAGCGCTTTTGACCGCCAGTTCTCATGTTGTTGTCTTCGCAAAGCTTCCTGGCGTTCCCGCTTGGGTGTGGGCAAAGGCTTCACATCCGAAACAAAAGCTCTACGATCTAGGATTTATATGACTATGATCTCATAGAACACCCGATGAATGGACCCATGATTTGGAGTTGATTTCGCCTTTTGAAATTTTCACTTCAAGAAAGCGGGTCCAGACCTGCCTCCTTGGTTTTGGCCTCTTCTGCAACAGGGATGCCTGAGGGGCTTACAGCTGTCGATAGCTAACCCGGCTGGAGGCATATCTGGTAACTGTTAAATGATCGAGCTCACCTCAAGGTAGCTAGCTGTTCATGCTGGAAAAGCCCTGATGGCAGGATTCTAGGAGATAGTGTGGGTACACCAGGGGGCCATTTTCTTCCTATTGCCACTTCCTCTTTTCGAGACTTCCGCCCCGGCGCGGGCCGGGCACTACCTGGTAGATATGTATATTCATGATTAATGTGTGTATATATATATATATATATATTGATGTATATATATATATATTAATGTATATATATATATATTAATGTATATATATATATTAATGTATATATATATATTAATGTATATATATATATATTAATGTATATATATATAATATTATATATAATATTATATAATATACATATTATAGCTATATAAAAATATCTATGTATGTATGTGTATATATATATATAACACAATGATGACGTATGTATACATACAAATATAGCATCGTATGGTTTTATCATATCTATACAATTTGGGCAGGGGGGCCTTTCTTGCAACTGTCTTGGCACGCCCACCTCCCTCACTGGCGCTCTTTGCCAGGAACCTCAAGAGTGGCTGAAGTCAGTGAAAAAGGGACGTGCTTTCTTCGGCCTGGGACTAGACCTGTCGAGCCAACAGCTTGTGGCTGTGACTGTCTTCATGCAACTGTAAGTATCCCAGACATCCCCAGAACCCCCGCAAACCTCAAACTGCAATCTTGACTCAAGAAAGATACGTGTCTGAAAATAATACCCCAAACTCCATGTGCTTGATATTGCTTGATCATCATTTTCCCGATGAAAATGACTGAACATGGCAATAAAATAGCCATAACCGGTGTGCATGATCAGACACATCATGACACATCCAATTCATCAACAGATCTGACAGCTTTGAGGCCATCACCTTCGAGTCCGTGCATCAGCACATGAGGTGCCACCCACCAAGGCCCGTCGTAACTGGGTTTCCAGGTCGCAGATCCACCAGCTTTTTACAGGTTCCATGCGGTTCCATACGATAAAAAAAGGAGAGAAAACATGAGAAAACAACCGCCAGCATGCAACTCTTCCAAGATCTTCCAAGTATTACAATGCAAAAAAAGATGCATTTCAAATATTTTCAAATCATTCAATCATTTCAATCACCAGCCGGTGTCCAAGATCATCCCAACTCCAAGTTTCTGCCAAGTCACCAGGGCAGAAGTTCGGCAAGCTTTGGCCTGGACCACTGGATGTCAATGAATGGTGCACCGCTGACGAGATGATACGAGGTCTGAATGTTTGGTATAGCATGAAGAATCCAGAAATGCTAAGTCGGAAAATGGATGAAAATGGCACAGACTTTAGAATGCTTCACAGGAAGAAACAAGAGCAATTGCTGGGCCTATTCCTCCTTGCACTCGCGACTACCAAACCATCATTTTTTTTTGTGACCATCTTCCTGCTTGGATATAGAACCCTACAGTCACCATCACGCAAACCTAGAAATATTACTGTATCAAATATCATCAAAGATCATCATCAAAGATCATCCAATACCATCGAATATCATCAAAATATCTATAGAAAAATGGTTCTCAAATGTCAAGTGGAAAAAAAAAAAAAAAGCAGAGCGGGAATGCCTGGGCCCGTGCCACCGAACTCTGCTTTGTTGCCAGAGATGCCTCACAGGCTGAAAAGCAAACAAATCCAGGACTCTTCCAGGTTTCTAGAGTTGCCTAGGGGTGACATCTTTACAAACTACAGGCCTAGGCAAACACCCGTTCTGCCGGAAACTTTGCTCCTTAAACTAGTAGTAGGTTCTTTTTTGATTTGCTGCAGAACCTGAAATATTGAACCCCCCCTTGAGTGCTGGATAGTGATAGCAGGCCTGTTGGTTTGGGATGCTTGGGGGGATCTGCTACCTCTCTTCAGCTTTGCTGTCAAGGTATCTAAGCTCTATCGCCGGCAGCTGAGCAAAGTTCAGCTCCGGGCCTGGAGTTTTCTCCAAAGTCGACTTCCTTCAACTTGGAGATCCAAACACGCGAAGTGCGAGAAGGTGCAATCAGAGTCCAACAGCTTCATGCAGGCCATATTGATCTCCTGCCGGCGAAGCGCTTTTTTGGTGCTGCTAACTTCAGGCCTCAGCCCTGGAGCCGTCCTCCCAAAGGTGATGTTGGGCATCCGGAACATGGAACACATCCTCATTGCATCTCAGATCATCTCATGGCAAACTGTGGATGTGAAATATTCTGACAAATCTGCGGGCGTCCCGGGCCACAAAAAACCTGAGATAACAGAAACCTCTTCTCCAGTTGAGTTTGGCCGTAGGCTTGGTGATGTTACCTGGGGCCCTTTGGGACGACACCTTCTTGTTTCGTGTTTCCCATATTTCCCTCTGTCTCTGTATATCTCAGCGAATTCGCCGGGTTCGGCACCTGGCATTTCCAACCATGTCAGTATGTCAGTGGAACAACATGGGCAGCTTGGCTTTGGTTTGGGAACTCTAGTCTCAGCAGGTTCAGGTCCGTTGCCAAGTTGCTGGATATTGCTTCTTGAAAATCTCTTCAACCAACCTGGGAGGAATGCCAAGCAAAAACAGAAGGTCAGCATTTTGTCTAGGAATCGAAGTGGGGGTACCCCGATCCCAGAGATCCCACACCAGCATCTTGGGGAGTAAGGAGAATGTGATCATGCCGAAAGTTCCTTGCTGCTTGTGTTTTCTTGTGATGCCCAGCAAACACTAGGACCCTCAAAAAGTCGGAAAAACTGAGTTGTCCTATTGAAACCTATGAACATTATGGTGTTCAATTTACAACCGGGTGTTGTGAGATTGGCTGAACATGTCATCACCACGCCCCTTTTTTTAATGACGCCAAGTTGCATCTTTGTGGCCAAAAGCAGCGCAGGCACGGCGAAGCCCACTCCCACAGGTGAGTCCTCGGACAGGGTCATCGATGACGCCTGGAACTCAACTCCTTGGCTCCTCGCGGGTACCACACCTGGAAGGGCAAAATGAGCGCTGCCCAAACCTCTTGAATGCTGATGGCCTCAGGATCAAACATTGGATGTTTTGCATCTAAAATCCAGATTGATCCACCATAAATCCACCAAGTATGCTGGAGAATGTGGATACTTGATGAACTTCGGGGTCCCAAATTTTGGGGGCAAATGTCGCTTGCGTTGTGTTGGGTTTGTGAGCCGTCCGCTTGCCAAAGGCCATACGGATGCATTGATTATGAAGACCTATAGCTCTGATCCGCTGAAAAGTGTTCAGCTTATTGTGATTTGTTGTGCCATTTCCGATCCACTTGGTCTCTGGGCTTGGTTGAGCAGCACCATTGCAATTCCCATCACCTGCGGAATCTCACCTGCTCCCTTTAGTTTTCAGCTTGATTTCCTTTGTCAAGCGACAAGTGCCTCCATTTTTGTGTCTGGCAGGCGAAATCGCTGCTCCTATCATCAACATTCAGGACATTCAGGCGTCTGCTGTTTAAAGTTAAGGATCAAAACGTGCAGGATCGTGCAGGCAAGTTGTAACAGCAGGCATCGAGGCGTTCTTGTGTCCTTCTGACAATTGCCATCAACTGCCTACGTCAAAAGAGTCAACAAACTCCCAATAGTCATTCAATAGTCATAGACAAGTGTTACTCGATTGATGTTCAGGGGATGAATGGTGAGCATCTTATGTGATCTCCGGCCGGTGTCAAGCTCCTGTAGATGGCCGAAGAGCTTCCAATAGAGAAAATGTGACAGCAATCCAACCAAACGCACCTGCTGCAGCGACCCTGTTGATCTATGTGAACTGGCCCTTGGGTTGGGACAACCAAAGGAAGAAGGGCCTCCCTCGTGTTTCAACACAGATTTGAGGTATTTTAAGGTGAAAAATCTGCTCCTTGAAGTTCTCTGCTCAGTTTTGATGGTCCTCAAGTGCTGCTCCCCAGCCTGCTCGGCACAAAGGACACGAGCACGCAAAGCTCTGAAGACTTGTGGTTTTGGTCTCCGCGTCAGCAACTCCAAGGGAAGCCTCAAAGCGAAACGACCTGGTCCATCGGGGTCTTGGTCCATTGGGTACCCAGTGGACTGCTGTCCCATGGGGCGACTGGAAAACTGTCTCCAACAAAGGGGCACATTGGTCGATGCCGTCCCGAGAAGATGCGTTCATTTAAACACATACCGTATGTTTCTGACTCAGGTTCAAATGCAGGAAGTGTATTATAATGTGTATATACATATACATGTGTATATATATACATGACTTTGTATATTTATACATAATTATATATATATACATGTACAACATTATAAAACATGTACTGGCAGTACATTCATCCAGGGCACATATTTATCACCTTGACAGAAAGTCTGTCCAAAACTCTCTTCCAAACGGTTTGAAAAGTGGTTGCCTTCCGCCAAGTTGCTGGCCCTTGGTGAGTCTGGTACACTCCTGGAAAAAGAGCTGCGGAACAGCACTTGAAATTGAGACAGGTCATATCATGTACAGTAAGTCTAAAGAAAATGAAACATGATATGACTACTGTACTAAATGACTACAGTAATATCATATACTGTACAGTATTGATTGGCTCATGCTCCACTTTAATCCACATAAAAACATGCTGCCCAAACGCATTCGTTCCAGAAAGACTGCATTTATTGTGATACACTTTTTAATCCAACCCATTCGGCAACGAGTCAAAACCCACTGAGTACCCTTCTGTTCACTCCAAAATAGCTGCTATATCTGGATATAGCGATGATTAAGATATATTAAGATATTCCTCTCAACAAATGTCAACGAGAATCATAGCTTTTGAAAAGCTCTATGGATCTTCATTTATGTCATTTGGGATTGGGTCAAAACCCTGGTACCTAGTGAACCCCAAAATAGCTGGTAAATGGATGTTCATCCCACTAAAAATGTATCTATAGGTATTGACCCATACCCATTTCTCCAACATTCATGGATCCTGGCCTTGCGAATCTCCTCTGCGCTGGCGGAGATGGGCTTCTGCGCCTGCGGAATCCAAGCTGATATATGACATGTGCACATCTATAATTAATGTATGCTATATATATATGTGTGTATACACCGTGTATATGTATATACATATAGTGTGTGTATATATATAATTATATATAATAGAATTATTATATGTCATATAAGTATATATGTGAACAATTTTACCCTTGTTCTAGGTGTTGCCAAATGTAGTTTCGATACCTGCTTTGCTGGTCAACCGAGTCCCGTTATGGCGCGGCAGCGACAGCACGATTTGTTTTCCTTCAAGGGGCGCTTGAGCCACAAAGGGCGTTTGAATGTATATTGGTATGTGCATATGGTACATGCACCTAGCGCCTGGTTCCCTTTGACACCCCCCATGTCCATGGTATCCTTCGGACCACGGACACGAGAGAGGGAACTTTGAATTAGAATGATTCTGCTACTCGAATTACGCCTATTTACATAAAGCAAGCCATTCGGCTCCCCCTTCCCCACATACCCGAATGGAATAATGGTTCAGGGTTCGCCTACTCTATGGCTGTCGATGCATCGGCGCTTCGTCAAGCTGTACAACGCGAATTATTGCTAGCTAACATCTACTTTTCTACGTTGGCTAAGCTTGCCACTCACCCGTCGGGAGAAATGGGTCACTTCGCTACCAAAGATTTACGATGCTAACTAACGAATTCACGTGCACATTGCAGAATTTTCGTGCAGATTGGGAATATCAAAAGTCTAGAACCTAAGCGAATTAATCTACTGCCTCGCTCAGAGTCCACTCAGTTGGTCTTTTTCCTGATCATCTGTTTACAAAGACGATACACATCTTGTAGTCCAGTGATCATTTTGATGGACAGAGGTAATCAGATCACTGCTCACGGCGGACTTTCTTCCATTGAGGTGCTGATGGAGTTTTCTCCCATCCTGCCGCACGTTTCGGAGCAGCTTTCGGCGATGAGGGCTTCGCAGGCGGTGCCTTTGATGGTTCATGGGATTTTGGCATAGCTTTAGCTTTTGGCGCGCTTGCCGATGAGGATGATGCTGAACCAGTTCCTTCAGGTTTCTGTGAAGGTTGTGCTGATGATTTGGCTTTCGCGTCTGCTGTAGCAAACTTGGAAGCGGCAGTATGTCCGACTGCTTTGAATACTTCACTTACCACTTCGTCGCCAAGAGTTGGAGCCATCTTCGTTTTCATCTCGGTCTTTCCCCTCTGCGCCTCTGCTTCAGCCAGTTGAATAGCATAAGCCATCTTGCTGACAAAGTTTTGGGGTAAAGGAATGCCACATTGTTGGGCTGCAAAGAGTAGTTCCACTTTCTGTTCCTTTTCTCTCAGACTCAGATATACCGAGAAAGCTGGGAGTTCAATGCAGTTGGGGAAGCCGTGGCTCCCGGAGCGAAAGAAGGTGTATGATTCGTGTTCTGGAAAGGTTCCTTTCAGCAGTCGTCGAAGAAAATTGCTGATGGTCACTCGCATCTCCTGCTTCCCTTGGGCATCGGCCTGCATTCGGTTCATTGGCATGAGGAAACCCAATGATTCGGGAGTGTACCCGGCGCATACCAGAAATTCCATCATCTTTTCATAGATCTCCAAATTCTTGATGACAGGCATCATCATGTTTCTTGGTCGTCCTGAGTACATCTTCTCTCCCTCTGACCAGGAGTTCCTTTTCCCTTTCTCCTGAAAGAGTTCATCCAATTCCAGCTCTGTCGGCCGCTTGAGGTTGCCGTCCGGGTCTTCGCCTGTGTAGGGGCAGAAGTCGTCCAGGTCCAGCCGGACTCGCCTGGTTTCCGTCATCATCACATGGTACTCCTCTGGGGTCATAGTGACTCTCTGGTTATAGTAGTGCCTGAACATTGTGATGACCTTTGACATGACAGCATTGTCATACAAGTGAGCCGCGGCCTCGGAGACATCATTGTTGATAAGTCCGTCTTCTGGCATACCCTTGCTGCCGCTCTCAAGATTCTTGGTCCATGCTGGAAGTTTGGTAGATGGCTCATCATCAGGTTCGACGTCCATTTCATCATCGTCTTCTTCAATGATTTCGTCTTCTTCCTGTTGAGCTTCCTCCTCCTGATCCATTTCCTCATCGTCGCCTTCATTGTAGTCGACCTCGTCAGGATTGAAGCCATAGTCGTTGGATTCGGATACGTTTTCTTGTGCTTGATTGACCGTATCCTTGAACAACGATTCTTCTTGTCGACGAACTTCTTCATCGAGCTCTTTCTTTGTGGCCTCATCTTCATCGTCCTCAGGAGCTTGTAGCCGATATGGACGAATCCCGCAACTTTCGAGTTCTGTCCAGCAAACTAGACACACTGCTAGCTTTGTCGGCGTCTCATTGATACAGTGAGGACAATGGCGGCAACCTGAAGTTTGCACCCTTTTGCGTTCGACTATGTAGTCAATCAGCTTGATGCGGGCCAGGTATTGTTCTTGTCCGCCAGGCTCGATGAGGTTGTTCTTGAATTGGTTGACGATGTTCATGGCATCCATGGCAATCTCGTCAAACGGTTGGTCTTCGGCGTCGATGCATTGACTTGCAACCCTTAGGATGGACTCCTTGGTGGCTACCGTTCTTGATTTGATAGTTCCAGACCGGACTACCTGGTCGTCGCCCGAGGGGACGAACAACCGGAGCCATGTCTTGTTGTACTGATCCTTGGGGTCCTGAATCCATCCTCCTTTGATTGCTGAGAATGGGATGACCCTTGGTGAAACGATCTGTCCCGAGTCAGTTAGTCGACCGCCATATTCCACCATCAAGGTCTCGGTCGGGATGAACAAGCATATGTAGTCACCCTTACGCGTATCAACGCTCTTCGTGATGGTCCATGATCTGTGATCCCATGGGACGTACGGGTTGAAGAACGTGAACATCCGATGACCTTCTCCAAGACCTCCTGGAATTAATCCTTGCCTCCAGATGCTTCGGAGGTTGGTCTTCTTGGTGATGTGGAAACAAACCGGTAATGACAAAACAGTGTTGGGTGCGATTGGATGCGAAAGCAGCGAGGACAGCAATGAAACGTCGTCTCTTGAAGATCCTTCTTTGTGCCCCGTAGGAGCACGAACCGCCACTGGATAGAGCAGTAGACCTTCATCAGGGATGTGCGTATCCGCATCGACATTGTTGTCAATGCACGTCAGGCTGCGGCGATCAATATCCTTGTTGATCCCAAATGCCAAAACTTGTTCACGCACACGACGTCCATACCTGGCACAGTGGAACATGATCTTGAAGAGCAATGTCATGCGAAAGTTCGCCTCATTGACATTCCATGCACTCTGATCATTTGCTCTTCCCTTTGGGGCAAGGAATACGTGTGGCCAGCGTGCATAATCGTGCCTCCAGATGGACTCACATTTGAGCACTTCCTCGATGGGCACCCAGCCGGCGTCATCACAGGGCAGACTCTGCTGCTCTGATACCTTCCCCACATTGTGCCGTAGGATCCTGTTCAGTGAGGCACTCACCTTGTCCTCGTAGGTGTCGAGTCGATTGCCAGTTTCGAAGCGGTAGTTGGCCGCATATTCTACGCCGCCAAAGTAGGAGCAATTGAAGAAATGGGCCCCTGTGGTTGGGATGATTTTCAAGAAACCATCTTGCGGCGCCTCGACACGTTTGTAGAAGGTCTTCCTGATGTTGTTGTCAGAGTAGCTTGCCATGAAGTCTGGCACTGACCAAGTGTCACCTCCTCCTCTGACGATAGCGTCTCGGATCACTTCGTTGAGGTCAACAACGTTCTGTGGTCCCAGCTTTGTAACATCACGCCCTTCAATGCAGAATTTACCATACTCATCGAGGTCACCAACTTCAGACATAGTTCTGATGCTGTCATACCACTGGTGTTCACTAAACCTCGGTTTTGTAGGTTCATCTGTTTGCCCCGACCCTTCAGTAGCACCTGAACCGTCCTTCTTGTGCTCAGGAGGCTCCATATCGACGTCATCAGATGTGGGACTATCAGCCTCGAGCGAAGCTCGGACGGCCTTTAGCACTTTTCTGACTTCATCTCTCTTCTCATGTTCACATTCAAGATGGCCATGTTTGGTGCTACCACAATACAAGCACACATTGACATCCTCAGAGACAGTGAAGAGTTTTCCCAACGCATCCAAAAGTTGTTGTCTCCCCGACATCTCTGAGTCCCTGACCACATCAGTGGGATCGTTTGCTGGCTCATCAGCTTCCTCCTCCCCAGGGTGAGCCGAAGACTCGTCACCTGGCTTGGCATCGGCATCAGCGCCCATGCTGGCGTCATCCCCTGTGATGTTGTTCTTCCTGCGATAATGAGAGAATACCTGATCCTTCTCCCATTCTGTGAGGCAGCTGAAATTGGCCAGCGATTCATATCCGGGGATTGCATGGATGATCTTCATGACCCTCTCGGCTTCTGCGGTTTGCAGTGTGCAGTCGAAGGATCCCCGTCTCTTGTCATTGATGGTGCTTGAGGTTCTTGATGTCGATGTGAACTGAGCCAATGCCTTTTCCAATCCATTGAGATATTCAGCTGGATCAACACTGGCATTGAAAACATCAACAACTCCTTTGGCCATATTGGCCACATCCAAGACACCAAGCCAGAATTCGATGATATCTCCAGTTTTCTCGGCAGATGCACGGGAGAATCCAAAGATCTCGTTCCTCTCCTTCACCTCGGGAACGGCGACCTTCTCGAAGAAGTCTTTGTATGCGACATTTCCGCAATCCTTTGTGACTCTATAGATCAATAGCCACTTCTTCGCGGCTTCATCAAAAACTCTTTCGCGATAGATGCTGAATTGCTTGCCGCGTCCGTTCCGGAAAATTTCCAGAGCTTGCCTCTTCGAAATTCTGACTCCTCCCATGTGAGATAGAGATTTCATCAAATGCTCCCCATACGCCAACGATGCATTTGAAATCAACGAAGACGCAGTAAATGTGAGCCAGGTTTGAAATCCTTGATTGATGTCAACAATGTCAACACCAAGATCCTCGAATGCAACCTTCAATCTGGCCGCAAGGAGT